AATATTTCATATCATTTTCACCTACTTATATCATTGCAACATGACAACAATAAGGAAATTAAAATCAATCCCATGTTATTGTAATTTCTTTATCTAATTTCCTTTATAATAGAATAATGTTTAATATATTTTTCATTTCTTGAATATTACATCATTATACTTTAAACAGAATTCATTCAATCTTAATACTATTCATAGTAATATTTATTTAATTTATCCGCAATAAAAATATCTTATTGTATCACCAACATTCATGAATCTCATTATCACAAACTTTAACAAAAATCAGTATTCAGTACCTCCAAAAAAAAAAAAAAACACAAATGAATTACTAAGTTTGCCAAATATTATTTTGCTTCACAACCAAACACAATATCTGATTTTTTCAGAACAATGAATATAAGAATCTCTAGTAAAAACAAACTAATGTTATCAATTGATAAAAATGTTAACATTCCTATTATCAGACTCACTTGCATAGGATTTTCGATATAATGCTCCTAACTTCTCACATCTCTCCCGCCCCTTATTTGCTTTTCAGTTTTCTCACCCCTTGATGGGATCCTATTTGATTATGAGCCTTTTCCGGGTGTTCTTTTCCAGTTGGCGGTATATAGTGAAGTCCGTTCGGATCAAAAGTCGGCTTCTCCACCGATGGTATAGGGAACTACTGCGCACCTCGCAATATGCTGCACGAATCTGCTCTCTATCTATGAACCCAGATATGTTCGCACTACAATTCATGAATGATTATAGTTAGTGGGCATCTTCCTGAAAATTGGCAATAACCTCGTTGCCATATGTCACTGTGAAAATCTCCACAGTTGATAATTCTGCCAATTTTGAAGCAATGAATCTATAGTACGCCATCACAAACATCACTACAATGTCAGAACAAATGGAATTATTCGACATGAACCTTCAAAACACACTCCATCCATGGGTTTTGCTAATGTTAACTTGCCAAGACCTGCTGTCGTTGAACGAATCCATAAGCCTTGTTTCGAATGTAGGACAAATAAGCTCATTCCATTTGTTTGCTTGGTCACGCCGTGCAGACATTTGCCGCATCAACTGAGTACGAATTGTGTCTACCATTTGAGTTATAGGAAGATTACGTGCTTCTTTAATCCAGTTATTAAATGACTCCGCCGCATTGGGTGTCATCTCCCCATAACGCATGCCCCTGCACAAACATTTTACAATACGGAATTTAACAGGTCTTAACATTAACGTTGACAGATGTGAACATTAACATCATTTGCAGTGAACATTAACACCAACTTAAATGATAGACAGATGTGAACATTAACATCAACTTAAATGATAGACAGATTTGACTGTTAACAACAACAAAATATGACAGATGTAAACATTCAAATCTGTAATACATTGCATGACTGTTTGACAAATTAACATATGTGAACATTCACATCTTTGACATCAGTCATCATTAGCAGATCTGAACATTCACATCATTTACATTGAACATGAAACACAATTGGAAGATTGTTACCATTCTAAACTGAAAATTCACATCGCTACCATTTTAAACTTGACAAATAGAACACTTTAGGAAACTATTATTACCTGAAGTATGAATTTGCCCAGTGCTCAGGTGCTAAGTCCTTGAAAAAATTATGTGCTCGTTGTTTACCCTCCTCCTCTTTTAATTTTGCAAGCTTTTCATGGAACCCTACCACAGTTGGCTCGTAAGCACAGTCACCCAAACTACTTACTACGTGATCCCTGAATCCATTATCAATTCCTTTCATCCAGTCTCTTAAATTGCTCTTCAGATGTTGTAAGCAATAACCGTGATGAGCAGATGGGAACACCTTTGGCATAGCTTCTAACAGACCAAGATTACGATCCGAAATAAAAGTAATCTAGCGCTTACCATCAACAACCTTCCCAAGTTCATGCAAGAACCACGACCAATTAGCCGTGGTCTCTGAATCAACAATCGCAAATGTAACAGGAAACAGACCTACAACACAACATCAATATACAACTATTCACAATATTCGAAAGTGAATAGAAAACAATATAAACGAAACAGGTCATGTAAATGTTCATATCTACATTGCCCTATTACTATTGTTATTTTTGGATTCCAGTTCATAAACATCAATGACCTGAACATTCACATTAACGACCATTAATAATTCATTGTTGATTGTTGAGTCATTGATAATGTGAACATTCACAGTACTGTTCATTAATGGATCAACTAATAGTAGTATACACTGATGTGAACATTCACATCAATGTATACTTACGTGAATGTTCACATTACTGCCATTAGCAGACACAGATGTGAACATTCACATCAATGTATACTTACGTGAATGTTCACATTACTGCCATTAGCAGACACAGATGTGAACATTCACATCAGTGCATACTAATGGCAATGTTCACATTACTTATAATTTGTCAATCACTCATTTGTCCAGACTATGCTGCTCAATGTGAATATTGACATGAATAGACAGCTAAAAAAAATACTAACCATTGTTTCCGCCTTTTGCCGTTGCCGCAAGTAGCTGACCTTTGTACTTTCCTTTAAGGAATGTTTCATCCAGGAATAGTAAAGGCCGACAAGAATTGAACCCAGAAATACACGTAGCGAATGACACAAAGAAATGACAAAACTGTTGACTACTCGCATCATAGCCAATATTGACATAACTCCCCGGATTGTACCGTATCACAGCATCCGAATACCACCGCAGCTGGTCAAATGATAATGAGTAATCTCCATGAATACCAGCCTTTGCTTTCTCCACACCCAACCATACGACATGGTAACTCACATCTAGCCCATAATCCCTCTTCAAAATAGTCACCACATCACACGGCCGAGTCAACGGCTTGTCCCTCACAATTTCAGATATGGTACTCGACACCAAATCCGAACTAACTCATGGATTCTTCGATGTTCGGACATCCGTACCACAACTATGCACATCACTAAACCTCTTGATGTAGAAAAAATCATTTGCTCATTGTGCTCTACAATGTATAGCCCACAAGCAGCCTCTCTCCTCCCGCAGCGCACACACAGCAATAACTCTTGTTGTCTCGTTCTTGACGTACATAAACTGAAGCCCACATTGGATGGCATACTTACATAAAACCTCACGAAATTCTTCTGCACCTTCAACAAACCGTTGTCCCACATGCATAATACCATTTGCCTACGGGGCTGACAACAACATCTTCTTCTTATGGTGGCAAAATCTACATAGTACATCAATTTCTTCCTCAACCCCCACACGCAGCGATCCCGAGCTACTTGACTGCCCAATATCACTTTTCAACTCAACCACAACTTCTACATGTTGTACCCCCATTGATTTAGCAAGCAGTAACATGTTCTGAAATTCTTCCTCATTGTCCAAATCACACCTATTAATCACAGGTAGTTTACAGAACAATGAAATAGAACCAGCAGACAACTCATC